GTGGAGGCCAGAGATCTACCCTGAATATCTTTCTCCAGTCCTTTCCAATTATTTTAAATCCAGGGTCTCTTTCTCACTGAACCTGGAGCTCATCAATTCAGTTAGACAGGATGGCCAGCAAGCCCCAGGGATCCTCCTGTTTGTGCCTTTCCAATGTGGGGATTGCAGAAGGATCTGCTTGCTATTCCTGGTGCTGGAGCCTGTACTCAGGTCCCCAGCCTTGCTGTGCATGCACTTGATTGGCTGGACTGTCTCCCCAGCATTATGAGACTTGGTATTATTGACTTAATTTCATTCTTTGTTAGGCTGTTCAGTACTTTTATATTTTGGTTCAATTTTGGCATTTAGATGGTTCCAGAAATCTGCCAGTTTCTTCTGAATTTTATTTATTATGTTTATTTTATTTTTTATATATTATTTATTATACTTATATATTATAGTATATATTTTTTCAAAACAGTCCGTAGTGCTGCTATGGATTTCTATGTTGTCAGATGTAATTTGCCTCCCTCTCCTTGTGAGTGTACACTGTAAATTTATCTAATCCTCAGTGAAACGCAACTTGCCATTTCATCTATCCTTTCTTTCTATTGTTCTTTTAGACCTGATTTATTTTTGTTTTGTTTTTTATTGTTTGTTTCTACTAATTAAGTGTTTGGCATGGTTTGGTTTCTTTTCTAAGAACTGAAGATAACCATTTGCTGTATTCCATATATCTTGGTTTGCTATGTTTCCCTTTGTTTCAAGGACTTGTAGTTCTATGTTCTGATTTCCTCAGTAGTTCACTGTTTTGTTTTGTTTTAATGTGTTGTACAGGGCCAGCAAGGCAGCACAGTTGGTATAGGTGCCTTCCATAAACCTGACATCCTGAGTTTGATCTCTGGGATCCACATGTTAGTGGAAGAGAACTTACTCCATGGTGGCATGCAGGTAGATATGGTACTGGAGAAGTTGCTGAGCACTACATGTAATCCACAGGCGGTAGGAAGAGAGTCAAGGGCCTGGCCTGGGCTTTTGTAAACTCAAAGCCCACCCCCAGCAACACATTTCCTCCAACAAGGCCATACCTCCTTATCCTTCCAAACAGTTCATCAACTAGGAACTAAGCATGCAAATATAGGAGACTTTGGGGGGCATTCTCACTCAGACCACCACAGAATGAATATATATAATAGGAGTTATTAGAGAGGCTTATAGATTGAGGTCCTGCTAGTGCAGCAATGGCTGTCTCCGGACCAAAAGTCCAAAAATGTAGTAGTTGTTCAGTCCACAGGCTGGATGTCTTAGCTAATCTTCAGTATATTCTGTATTCCAAAGATGTAGGCTCTAATACCAGGGAAGTAATGAATTTGCCAGTTAGAGCAAGGGCAATCAGGCAAAGAGCAAGTGCTTTCTTCTTCCATGTTTTTTATGTAGGCTGCCACCAGAAGGTGTGGCCCAGATTAAAGGTGGATCTTCCTACCTCTAAAGATCTGAATTTAGGATGGATCTTTCCACCTTAAATGATTCAATCAAAAAAAAAAAAATTCCTTCACAGTGGATGTACCAACCACTTGGGTTTTAGTTAATTCCAGATGTAGTCAAGTTGACAACCCAAGAATAGCCATCACATTACACATGGTGTTGGAAACTGAATGTTCCCCTCCTTTTTCTTCATATTCTGGAAAAAATTCTTAAATGTTTGATTTTCCTTTGCTTTCCTCCCTTCTCCCCCTGTTGATTGGATTTTAAATTTGTGTCAAATTTTCTCACAGTTTTAAAATTTTTATTTCAAGTTTTAAAATTTTTTTTCAGCAGCATGAGCTACTGACTTGCTGTATTAAAGACTTTTTTCATTTTTTTAAACTTGTAACATTTTGTTGCTCTGAACAAGGTATTGCAACTATTTGTGGTTTTCATTTTTATTTTAACCTTTTTAAAATAATGATTTTTTTCTTTGAGGATTTTGTATAATATAACCTGATCATACTCTTTCCCCTTTCCCAACTCCTTGGATTCTCTCCAATCTCCCTGCTTATCCAACTTCATGTTAGTCCTTTTCTTAAAAAAATAACAACACAATGGAGTCAAGTTTGTGTTTGCTGACTACTGAACTTAGAACCTGCCATGGAGTGTGATTAATATACCCAGTGTCACTCCATTGGAGAAAACTGATTGCTCTCTCCCAGCAGCTCTTCATTGCAAATAAGCTTCTTGAGTGGGGGTGGGACTTGGTCCCATTTCTCCTGCTTCATGCTGAGATTTTTCTTGCTAGAGCTTGTGCAAGTCTTAAGCATGCTGTCACAGTCTCTGAGTTATGTGTGTATCTGCTCTGTTGTGTCTGGGAAATACTATTTCTTTGAAGCCATGCACCACCGCTGACTCTTACAATCTACTTTTCTCTTCCCCATAGATCTCTGAGCCTTAAGGGGTGTGTGTGTGTGTGTGTGTGTGTGTGTGTGTGTGTGTGTGTGTGTGTGTGTGTGTGTGTGTGTGTGTGTGTATAGACATTCATTTAGCACTAAGCATTCCAAATTCTCTTATCTGCACATTGAGCAGTTGTGGCTCTCTCTGTTAATTACTGTCTACTGTGAAAAGAAGCTTGTCTGATGAGGTGATCTGTGAGTATAGCAATATGACATATGGAGCCCTTTGATTGCATGTTCATTTAGCAGAATAATAGTAGTAGATTACTACTTTTGTGGTTTGGGTATAAGTGGAAAGGACAGTATATTTGCATAGAGGCCAGGATTAATGCTGGGGGTCTTTCTTAATCACTATCCACCTGATTTTCCAGAGACAGGTTTCTCAGTCAGGAGTTCACTGATTCAGCTAGATTGGCTGGCCAGTGAGCTCAAGAGATCTTCCTGTGTCCACCTCCTTCTCGGTGCTGGAATCATAGACATGTGCTGAAAGACCCAGCTTTTTTCAAGATGGGCATTGGAACACAAGTCCTCATGTAACCCATGTTATGTGAACAATGTTATTCATTTAAAATATTTTGGAGGAATGTGGATTTTGTTGTAAAATGCAGGTTTTTAAATACAGATTATTGTGGCAACTTATGTTTTTGTTTTCTTCTTTTAAATATCAAGAGATATGCTAAATGTTGGTAAATAATACGCATTATTAACAGAATTGCCAACTCTCAAAGATTCTGTTTGTGCAAAGCTAGAAGGTAGAAGAATATGCATCGTTTGGTCTCTTTTTAGAAATCTGAATTCTAGCTGGGCGGTGGTGGCGCACGCCTTTAATCCCAGCACTCAGGAGGCAGAGGCAGGCGAATCTCTGTGAGTTCGAGGCCAGCCTGGGCTACAGAATGAGTTCCAGGAAAGGCACCAAAGCTACACAGAGAAACCCTGTCTTGGGAAAAAAAAAAAATCTGAATTCTATTAATTTGGATCATCTATATGTTTGTAAAATTCAAGGCAAACATTTTTATATAGTATTTTCCTTAAATATGGTTTTTTTTTAAACATGTTTTTAACACTTGAAAATGGGGTTTGGGATTTAGCTCAGTGGCAGAAGGCCCTGAGTTCGATCCTCAGCTCCAGGAGGGGAAAAAAAAAAAAAAAAACCACTTGAAAATAGTTAACATACATGACATGAGTTTTTGCGTGTAAATTTTTCAAATTTAACATTTTCCCAGGTGAAAGAATAGTCCCCCCCCCCCCCCCGACAGAATTTCTCTGTGTAGCTTTGTGCCTTTCCTAGAACTCGCTTTGTATACCAGGCTGGCCTCAAACTCACAGAGATCCACCTGCCTCTGCCTCCTGAGTGCTGGGATTAAAGGCGTGCGCCACCACCGCCTGGCAAGAATAGTTTTTTTATGCTTATGTTTTGAGTGAAAGAAACACATATTTTAAAATATGTCTAGTCATTAATTGGATTGAATTAAAGGTGGTATAAAGTCCCAGAATTTTGATTTAGAGCTCAGTAAAATTGTATTTTTAATTATATTATATTATTTTAATTATATTTATGACAGAAAATACAAGGACATGGCAGGTCAGATGGCAAATTTAAAACTCTGTGAAGACACAGTGTGTGTCAGTTTTCAGGGACAAGCTGTTCTGGGACTGGAAGAGTACCAGTGTTCTGGGTTACAGAGGAAGACTGTCTGGAAATGAAGCTCAGAATCCATTGCCGTGGATATTTGTAGGTGTTTTAGAACTCTACAGATGTTTGCTTTGCATAGCGTGTATTTTTAGAACAGAATTGAAACTGTGTTAAACATGTGAACTGCTGTGATTTGTCCTGATTTTACTGAATGAAGTTAGTAAATTCGATAGCCTCTTGGGGCCTTTCTTACCATGTTAATTGTCTACTTTGAATACAGATTTCATCTGGTTTGAAATACTTTGCTTAAAAGAACATTATTTTGTAAAAGATTTCCCTCTCTGTAGTATTAGATTGCTTATTGAGAAAATAGATTTATTTTTATTGTTTTCTTTTATGATGTTTCTTTGAATAGATTTTAGCTATTGCTCTTTTATAGGTAACAGTAACTGCACCAACAAGAAAATTATATGTCCTTTAAGTTTATGATTTTGTATTGCAAAATCATACTTACACATAAGCAATGAAGATGGTGATTGCTGACTGAAATTTAATACTAAAGAAATGAATACGGGGCTGGAGAGATGGCTCAGCCGTTAAAGGCTAGGCTCACAACCAAAAATATAAGAAATGAATACGTTTTGATCCCTTTGCTTGTGTGCTAATTTAATCTCTTTAAAATGATTTCTTTGGCACTCTCTTCTAAGACTTTGAGTATATTGAAATGTGCTGTTATAATACTTTTGAATAGCATTAGGCTAACAATTTTTATTTGAAATAGATTATGTAAGTCATAGCTATAAGGAGAAAAGTATGTTTACAGAACTACTTTACTCCTGTTTTTATGTCAGTCTTATCAGTCATTGCTTTTTTCAGTGTTTTTCTGTTTCTTTTTTGATTTTACAAAAGTGAGTTTAAAAAATAAGCCCTATTAAATCATAACTATTCTTTTCTTTTTTTAGGTTGTTATGGAGTTGATGGGGAGAGTGACTCTATTATGAGTTCGGCTTCTGAAAACTCCACCGAGCCTTGGTTTTGTGATGCCTGTAAATGTGGTGTTTCTCCTAGCTGTGAGCTATGTCCTAATCAGGATGGAATTTTCAAGGAGACAGATGCTGGAAGGTTGATGTCCCCATTATGTTGTGTTCATATGCCTGCTTCATAACATGCCTGCTTTGGAGCTCCCTTTTCTTCCATTATGACTTTTGAGTCACACGCTTTTCTTCCCATCTTCTTGGTACAAAGGACTGCGTTGGCCAGTAGGCGATAGATCGATGAGGGACTAAGAAAAATCATCTCTCCAGTACTTGGAGTTGTTTTTTTTTACTCTTCATCGTTATTACTTAAGGATCCTGTGAAGAAGCAGTGGTAGTTCCTCACATTATAAAGATAATGCCCAAGGCTCACATCATTTAAATCATATTACCAGACTCAAGACCACAGTCTGGTAAATAGAGAAATTTGAACCCAGATCTCTCCACTTCAGGAGTATAGTATACAGTGATTAAAAATGGAGGAAGTTAATATTAAGAATTATTAAAATTATGCCCTAAAAGTACATGGAAGTTTTAAATTAACTTCTGAAGGAAATCCTAGGCATGACATAGATTAAGGAAGGCCAAAATTAAAGGAATGACCTCTTTCCCAACATTGGGGTTTGGGCTTTGTCACAAGAACTAGTTGTAGCCTAGTTTTCTGCTTTATCTGTCAGTCTTCAGATCTTGAAAGTAGATGACTGACCACAAGTTTGCAGGGGGGACTGCAGCTCTCTTTTGAAGCCTATTACATATGCTGTGTTTATTGAGAGGGCGGTGAAAAGTAATCTGAAGGTTGGGCCAGGGTTGTGAGGAGGCAGGGACTAAGCTTGTGGCTCTACTGTAGCAGATGTACCCTGTCTGTCCTGTTGAGAAACTCACCCTTCTGCTGTCCTCTGTTCTGTTGAGTTCTAGTACCCAGCTATAGTGATAACAAAATCACATTCACTAAATGACAAATGTGGAGGGAAATCTGTCTCTCATTGCAGAGTACATGTTAAAGCATGCCTGTGAAGCTGAGAGACAAATCACTGATACTTCACACAAAGACCTGTGGTCTTTTCACTGTAATCACACTCACGGTCACTGCTGTATTTGAACAGTTATCATTCTAAAAGTGTTGACATCATTTATGTTGGTTTTTCCTTACGAGACTAGGGGTAGTTGACTATAGTGTATAAGTTATTCCCAGTCTTGTGTGTCTTGAAGATTACCCACCTCAATGCTGCCAATAAGAAAACCTTAAAAACATGCGGCACTCATATTTTTAAGGTTTTTATTTTGACAAATAAGGCATTAGAATTTTTAAATTTTGCTTTTTTATTATTTGAATTTAAGTGGGTATGTCTGTGTCTGTGTAGGTATGTGCACATGAATGCAGTGCCTGCAGAGTCCAGAAGAGGTTTCAGATCCCTTGGAGCTGGAGTTATAGGTGCTTGTGAGCTGCCTGCTGTGGGTGTTAGAATCCAAACATGGGTCTTTGCAAGAGCAATGTGTGCTTAACTGCTGAACCATCTCTCTGTCACCTAGAATGGTTTCATTAAGAATGCTTAATATTTTAGTAATAGCAGCAAGAACTACCAAACAACATAATTTTTCATCATTTTTAACACTGAAAACTTAGGGCATGGTCCACAAATAAAATCTAGACTTAGATATAATACATTTTACTTTAGTAAAATTAGGAAAAATATTTTTTTCACTTTGTCTCAATTAGTAGCCAGACCCTTGAGAAATAGAGCCTCAGTAGATTGCTAAGATAGCATAGAATCTGCCATAGGATCTTAGGGAACCCTCTGTGCTGAGGATCCAGATCCCTCATCACCTAAGAAAAGAAATGAAAATAATAGTAAGTGCTTTGCTATATAGGCTAGAACTTATTTGTATTGTATACGTGGCATTTTTAACTATGGCCTATAACTGTGGATTTAGTATTAATAGGTGTGTGCTTTTAAAGTATTTTGCCCTTGTTTAGATTCATTTTGTTTGTTTGTTTTGTTTTTATTCTACCATGACTTTAGGTGAGTTCCTTAGCCTTGTTATTATGCCTTAGTTTCATAGTACCTTTGAGAAGTTTAAATGACACAATTCATGTAAGACAGTTCTGACGTAGTTGGTGGACAATAAATGTCGTCTTGCTATCAATGCTGCTGCTATGAGTGCTTTCTTCTGAGCAGCCGCTGCTGTGTACATGCTATTTGGTAATTTCTGATCTTGAATATTGAACTTTGAGTAGTCAGTCATGGTGAGCTAAGGCCATTTTGAATAAAGAATAAAAAACGAAACAAACAAATAAACAAAAAACACAAACAACTCCGCTTCCTTTTGAGAAAGAGAATTTGCCTTACTTGGTTTTCCTGTTAATTTGAAAGTTGTTTTGACAAACTGTCCATTTGTGCTGTCAGACTCTGCAAAGTAGCATGTAATGTTTTCTAAAAGAAGACAAAAGAAAGCACTTTAGCATTGAGGTTTACTAGGAAAGACTTACATTAGCTACTGTGCATAGCACATATATAGGTTAGGTACTCCATGGCAGAGAAGTGCAGTTCTGGAATAGACTGTTTAAACACTTGGATTTTTCATGTCCATATTCCAAGGGAGGCCAGAATAGATATTTTGGGCATTTATGTGTTTTGCAGCATGTAATGCCAGTTTGATTTAAGACCAAGAAAGAGAAGAAGTCATCAAAATTGGACAAGTCCTTTAGTATTCTTATCTTCATGTGGAATGCAGGGGAAAAGCAGGAGTAGTATATGGACAGGCTAAAAAAGCTTTGAAATTGGTTTATCACATGGGTTTAACTAGACTTTCTCCTTTACTGATGTGAGCCATAATTTCTACGTGGAAAATGATTTAATGTGAGAAAATAGCTGTGTAATTCTTGAGATAAAAATTAAATTTTTATTTCATTTCTTGAGAAGATTTTGCTCTGAGTAATCATGTAGACCCAATTTTGTAAAATATAAAATATTTCTATTCCCCCCCTCTTTTTCTTCCTGATTCCAGTTTAAACAGATATTTAACAAAGCAAAGCAAGGCACATACCCTAAAGAGAGACTCAGTGGCCGTTGTGGAAGGAAGAGCAGCCTCTGTCTTCCTTCTTTGCAGCCTTTGTAGGCTGTCCTCCTGTGTATTTGGAGTATGGCAGTATGGCTCTGACTCATTGGTCTTTTTTTCTCGTCAGTAAGCATTATGATACAGCAGAAGTAAGAGAGCACTGAATTTCTTAAACCTCACTGCTTTCTTCTACTAGACCTGCTATGTTTGAAAACATCAGTCCTCTGAAAGTGTGATTTGCATAATGAGAAGAACGACTTGCCACTCATAGGAGACATTCAGACCTTTTTATTTTCCTTGTAGCAAATGTTCCTTGCATGAAGACAGTGAGCTACATACACACTGCTGTAAGCACTTCACAAACATCTAAATTCCAGATTATCTATGTGATGCTCTCTACCTAGGAGACACTGAGTCCTTGGTTCTAGGATGAAGGAGTAGAAGTATCATGCTGTAGATATATTTTTAAAATATTTTTTTAAATATGAGGAAAAGGTACTACACAGAAAAAGTACTTCAAAATTATTCCATTAGTATAATTTCTATTGTTAGGTAAGAGTTTATTCAAGAAGTATATTACTACTTAGTTGTTGCCTGCCTATAAATAACATGTGAATATAATCAAATGCATTTTTAATTTCCATTCTATAATGACAGTCTGCCTTTGTCTTTTGGTGGTTTTGTGTTATTTGTTTTCTGCTCCTTTTCCCAATCAACATCTGTCATCATAGCTCCAAGCAAAATGGATGGTAAAGTAACGAGGAATATTTTCTTGTTGTTTAGATTTTTCAGCTTAATTCCATAAATTCTAAAACATATGAATAAAAAAGTGCTCAAAGGACCAAAATGTCTTAGTGGTGATTTTCAGTGACTTCGATACATATTTTAATAAGGACTCATGTTGGTGTCCTCATATGTATGACTGGGCAAAATGATACATTTGTGTGCCAGCCACACAGAAATCTTCACTACTTGTGTGACTTGTTCCTATGCATGTTAATAAGGTCAGTACAAAGCATGCAGCCAGCTGTTGGGTTTATCAATGATAAACTCCTGTTGAGAACGGCCACATTTGATACCTCAGTAGAGCATGAAGAAACCACACAGAGTAAATTGAGAAAGCGGCTGCTTGTTGAGATGCTGCTATCTTTATATTGAACTCCGCACAATGCATTTGGGAGGTTGGATTAAAATGTTCCATCTAGAAAATCTCAGAACCATGGATTCTTTTTCACAAAAAAATGATAAAAATTTTAAAGATTTATAACTTTTTCTTAATACCTCTATAGAATGATTCTTAGTCTTTTTAAAACTCAGTACGTCATAAAACCAGAACCTTTTAATCTGCAATAAAGCGACATTGTCAATATATACAAAAAGTTCATAGAGACTTGCCATCTCATTTTTATCCTTTTTCTTGCACAAGCGATGCATATCTGCTATTTAAATATCAGACAGCTATTCAACATTTTGTTTGGCTGCCAGCAAATAGATACATAATCAGTTAATAGTTTAAAGAGATCAGAACCAGCTCTTTTTCCTTTTCAGTGTGCTGAAGCTGAACATTTTTTAAAAGTGTTAATAGCATTGTGCAGAATTTATGCAATGTAGTTGTAGGTGGCGTTTGTAAATTTCAATTCAGAGGTTATATAGGGAGCAGATGAGATAAATGAAAGCATGGCATCCTTGCATTATTATAACTTTGCTTTGTACCTTTTGCCAGCCATCATCTTTATCCTGAGAAGAAAGTTAAACTTTCTACCAAAACTGTTTTAAAATATATCTCTTAAAATATATCCGTAGGGATATTCAACAGCTTTTGGGGGAAAGGTAGCAATAAAGAACAATTAACCTAATTACTGCAGAATAACTTCGTAGTTCTTAAATTAGAATCCTTAATTTTAAAAGTGCTCACAGTAATGAATGTGAATATCTTTCCTTGAATATGAAAGTGATGTTTTGTTACCCTTGAATAGCAGTCTTATGCAAATATTTAAGAATAACAGATAAGACCAAAGTGCAGTGAATTTTAAGTGAAAAGCAATTATGGTTGCTGAATCTACATTTTGACTAGACTTACTTCTGGAAAAGTAATGCTCACTGCAGTCATGCTTTCTGTGATGAATTATCTGCTATCATTTTATAGCTGTTCTGTATTTTTCAATTAAGAGTCTGAGATGGAGATTTTTTAAAAAAAAACATCTGGTCATAGAATACTTTCAGTAGTATTTTAAGATGGAACATATTTTATGTTCATTTTCTATGTGAGAAATTCAGGAAAGCATTTGATAGCAGAATTGTGTCTTTTTTCTTACAGATGGGTCCACATTGTTTGTGCCCTATATGTTCCTGGAGTAGCCTTTGGAGATATTGATAAGTTACGACCAGTAACACTAACAGAAATGAACTATTCTAAATATGGTGCCAAGGTAAGAGAAACTTTATGATTAACTGAAATTGAAAATTTCATTTGTTTCTTTACATAACCTTTTGAAAATTATGATTGACCACAGAGGTGTTTACTAGCAAGCACACTATATGAGGAACTCTTAGCACTGAGTCATTTGTTATTATATTATTAAGCTGTTTTGTTTTGCTTTTTTGTGTTTTTGAGATAATGTCTCACTGTAGCTCAGGTCAGCCTCTTCCTCCTTAGTTCAAGGATCAGGTATGGGTCACCATGCTTGAATCATTTGTTGATAATTGTTTCCCAGAAGGCTAATTTATTGATACTTCCATATGGACTAATTTCAGATAACCTAAGTTTGTAAAAATGCATATTAGTTGATACTGTTTCTATTCTTAGGACCCAGAGAATGCCTTGTTATGCTCGGTTGGATCAAATAAATTTTACTTTAATTTTGGAATAAATTTTATTAAAATTAAGAAAAAGAATATAAAAAACATCAGTTCACTACCAGCTTTTTTTAATGTAACAAGAAAAATTATCAAATTTCTTCAACATAGTAAATTGATTTTATATATTAATATATGTAAAGTACTTAGAAGACTAAGTGCTTAGCACCCAAATACTCTTATAATATTATTTATTCTTATTACTAATATATCAGTTTAATTTAGGTTAATTAGAACTGTGTAAAGAATCCTCTTTCTCATCAGAAGACCTTGCTTGTCTATAGTTATTTGCATTGGTAATACTTAGTGGATGCATCATGAGAGGATAGTTTTTGCTTCAGAAATACTTTTACTGTGAGAGTTTTCCTGTTATTTTCATAGGAGTGTAGCTTTTGTGAAGATCCTCGCTTTGCTAGAACTGGAGTTTGCATTAGCTGTGATGCAGGGATGTGCAGAGCCTATTTTCATGTTACCTGCGCCCAGAAGGAAGGCCTGCTTTCAGAGGCGGCAGCAGAAGAGGTACGTTGCTGTGTTCAGAAGACTTCCCATGTCTACTGTGCCCTATAGTAATTGTAAAGCATGAGAGAAACGTCATTACATATTCTGAAGTCTTTGACCAGACCACTGATTTAAACTTTGAATAGTAAATGACTATGAGTTTTGTCAGTAAAGCTAGTTACAGCATACTGGAAAGCATATTAACATTTTTGTAGTGAGTTTTGACAGATAAAGCAAAATACAAGATACCTTGAAGTGCTAGATTGAGTAATTATTTGATTACAAAGTATATTTTTGGGACTCCTTAAAATTGTTTCTAGGACCCTGTGCTTCAAATTAGTTTTATAACAATATAAGATATGTATTTCTAAGTTCTAAACTTTGGAGAGTTCCAGAGATTGCATACAACATAACAATGTAACCTTGAATATGGAAATAGTTTGAGAAACATGCTTTTAGGTTATGAAGGTAGATAATAGAGTTGCAAAAATATAAACTATAGCCCCTCCCACTAAAATTTCTTGCATAATGCCATAGTAGTTATCTTGATTAAAAATATGTATTTACATAATAGGTTTAAGATAAGTTAACTGGGATTGAAGATTATTCAAAGTTTCAGTTCATGTGATAAGTTTCTAAAAGTATGATTCACAAATTCTTTGGCATTCACAATAATTTTAAAGAATTTTAAGGAATCCCAAAAGCAGGTATAATTAATTTTTTAAGCAACTTTTGTGGAGAGATAATTCAGTAAACTTTTACTGTGCATTCATGATGCTTTCTGATAATATGTAAGCCATTTCATTTATTTGATACATAAAATTTTACTTCCTTATAAAATATACTTTTAGCTAGGAAATAAGTAGTGTAATGACGAAAATTTTTGAAAAACACTTGTAGGATGTATTTTATTTTAACTTAAAAAGATCTTAAGTAAAAATTTACATTTTGATGTGTGTCTGATTTTTCTAATTTCTGATTCTGAGGAATTGTGCTTTGAAGGAGTGTTGGGTGAACACTGAGCATTTTCACAGCTGCTGGGCAGACATAGACGTATAACTGCAGTGTGGGGTTGTGTGGATTAATCATGACTACGCCTGGATGATGGGCAAAGGTGCAGAGGGGTATGCAGTAGGCCTGAGAGGACTGTGTAGGTCACAGGTAAAAATGAGGGAATCTGAGTTCAGCTCAGTTGTCTAGTTCTGGGTAACTGAACTTTATAGTCAGATGTTTCTTTTGTAGACACTTTCAGTTTATTTTTGAGAGATTTGCCTTCTATAGTAAGATTGTTGGGGTTCCTTTGCATAACACTATACATGATGATCCTTTTTGGAGAAGACAAAAACCTCTTTAGTTAAGTAGAAAGTAAAAATGTATAAAACATTGGAATGCATAATGATTGGGAGATAGCTTCTCCCTATCAGAAGGCATGCAGATTAATACAAAACCAAACATAATTAATAGTTTGCAGTTTCTCTGTCTAAGAGCTAATTTGGGGAAATATACAGGACAACCTTAAATAATAAAGTCATCAAACCTGGACCTGAGGCCTCTTCGTGCCTTGATGCTTTCTTTTATTGATTAGGTAAATGTGCCGGACGCTGCCTTGCTTAGTGGAGAGGTTTTGTTTTTGTGGGGTTTTTTAGTGCCTCTGTTTTGTTTTGATTTTTCGTTTGGTATTTTTATTAAATCACATTTCCGTAGATCTTTAGTTTGTTGTTATAAACACTTAAGAGAATTGGAACTTTTGTTGTTTTTGGCTACAGGATCTTACTATATATTCCAGCTGATGTGAATTCACTGCACAGCCCAGGCTAGTCTCAAATTCACAATCCTTCTGTCTCAGCCTTCTCAGTGCTGTGATTATAAATGTGTGCTGTTGCAGCCCGTGAGAATTGGAAATTTGTAAGATTCCTTATAGAGTTTCAAAAACTGTGAATTGTTAAGATGTCAGTGAGATTTGCTTTTATAATATTTATTTTGTTAAAATTGAAGAGTTATTTGTAATGGTTGTACATATATACGTTGGATACATATAAAATCCCCTTCCCCCCTGAAACTGAGTCTCATTAGGTAGTCCATGGTAGCCTCAGTGATCCTTCTGTTCATGCTTCTGAGTGCTAAGATTATAGGGCACACCCACTTCAGCATTTTTTAAAATGAAGAAGCATTTTAAATTAAAGCAGATATATTGTTTATAAGGACATCTTGTCTTCTGCTTCAGTTTTATGTTCCCTTTAGATTTCCTAGAAAGCTTTTATTTTCTTGTTTAGACTTGTTTATCAAGTTTGATGTCACACTTTTCCAGAGCTATTTTATATAGATAGTAAAAGGAAGCTTGAACAATAGAATTAAGCACCTCAATTTTATCCAGTGATACTTATCATAGTTTTAAAGTTTTTATAGCCTTTGGATATATTGCTTTCCACATTGGTGAAAATCTACTAGAAGTTTGCATGCTTTTTCATCTACTTGGTAAAATATTCCAAATTACAAGAATAGTCCAATTGTCATGTTTTAAACACAGCATGCATTTGTTCAAAGATGTTAAAATAAACACCTACAATACAGAAATTTATATTTCATATCTTAAAGTTACTTATTGTCTAACTAAACTCATAGTAATTTCTTCTTTGATTAAAATATGACTTTGCTAGTGTTACACAGTTATAATATTATTTAGAAAACAGTGTCTAAAATAGTATAAATTTATTATAGATTCTGTTGATTTTTAATACATATTTGCCTCCCTTCTGCAACTCCTCCCAGATGTACCCTTAATTCCATACCTACCCAACTTTCTTCTTCTTCTTCTTCTTCTTCTTCTTCTTCTTCTTCTTCTTCTTCTTCTTCTTCTTCTTCTTCTTCTTCTTCTTCTTCTTCTTTTTTTATTTTTATAGCCCATCTAGCCCAATACCAGTGGTTATACACAATTTGGTGTGTGGCCATCCAGTAGAGCATGTTCTACCTACCAAGAGCCAGATCTGTTAAAAAAAAAATACAAAAAAAACCCCAAAACAACAACAACAAAAAACAACTAATTCTTCTTCTCCCAGTTGCTATCAGTTAGAAACTACCTTCTCATCACGGGTTGAGACCAACCCCTGTCTATGCTGGCTTTTGTCTGGCTTCAACTTCCTGGAGGCTTGTGCATTCTGTTACTGATATGAGTTCCTGAGTATAACTACTCTGTTCTGGCTGGGAAATACATCAACTGATTCTGGCTCTTACAATCTTTCTGCTCCCTGAGGCTTAGGAGGAAGGGGTGTGCTTCAGATGTCTAATTTAGGGCTGAATGATATGCAAATCTTATGCTCTGTGCCTTGGCCAGTTGTGGGGCTCTGTGTTAATCCCTAGTTATTGGAAAAATAAATTTCTCTGCCGAGGTTTAAAAAGATTCATTAATCTATGGATACAAGGGTAAGTCATTAGGAGTAGGTTTAGTATTGTGTCCCTTGAGCAGAGTTAATAGTAGTAGGTTGTTCCCTACAGCCTACAACCTATCTAACCATAGATTCATGGTTAGGTATGGGTTCCATCTTGTGGGATGGACCTTAAATGGAATTAGAAAATGGTTGGTTATTCTCATGGATTCATTCCCTAATTGCACCTTGTGGGATGGACCTTAAATGGAATTAGAAAATGGTTGGTTATTCTCATGGATTCATTCCCTAATTGCACCAGTGGGAATATCTTGCCTGGCTAGTTGTTGTCAAAGCTCACAGGATTCACAGTGGGGTAGGATTAATGATTACTTTTTTTTTTTCTCCAGTAGGGAGCATAATACCTTATGAAGCTTCTAGGTCAATATCAGCTTGGTTTATCTAGGTCAGTATCAGTTTGATCTATCCACCTTCTATGACTCCATGTTCTGTTGTCTTTAACTGTAGAGTCAGTACCATAAGCTCTGGAGGGTAACTTAAGAGCAGCAGCAAAAGCCTATGATATTTGGAGGTCTTTGGGGCCTCGCTGGCCAACAACTCCAAAAGTAGTAACCCATTCCTGACATTGGACTTTATTTTATAGATTTTCATATAATCTTTGAAATAATGAATTGAAATCATTCCCAGATTAAATTTCAAGAGCTCAAATTAGAATTTTGGCTGCTGAACTGATGCCTCAATATTGCTAGAAAAACCAGGATTATTAGAAACCAGTTGTTGCTGGGTTAAATGATTATAAAAGGATTCATCAAGATAGCCATTACTAGAGTTTTGTCATTTTATACAGACATTTTAGTGTCTTTTATGTGATCATGTTAAGCATTTGGTAACTTACAGTTGTTTTTTGAAAATTGTTCTGAATTAACTTTCCATCAGGCTACTTGGCTTACTGTTTTTTTCTCCCACTTCCCCTCTTAGCAGTATTTTCAGAACACGTCTACTTGTATTAACTGCATTGATGCTCCCTGGTCAGACTCACTCTTTCTGACTGAGGTAATGCAGTCTTAACTCTTCTTGCTCTTGTTTTCCTTAAGAGCAGAGGCTGGCAGATACTTTCTTTATAAGGCCCTATATAGAATTCCTTATAAAATGTATATATGCATTCTTTATAGAATGCAAATATTTTAGTTTTGTAGGCCTATGGGTAGTTTGCTATTGTAGTATGAGAACAGCGTAGATAATATTTAAAATGAATGATTGTGGCTGCATGCCTATAAAACTTTACAAAAATAGGCATGGCCATGTTTGGCCCATGGTGTAGTTTGCTGAAGCCTTTTGTAGGACAGAAAGGCTATTAATAATACACCTAGCATTAAATCTCAGCCAGATTTTGTTATCCTGCTCCCAGTCCTTCGCCAATACTTTCGACACTGATTGTGATGTGGTTTATCCATTTTCAATATATTGCATCATATTCTGTCAGTTTCTAATAAATTACGGGAAGAAAACATTCTCTACCTTCTTGAGGTTTTATTCAAGGCCCGTGGCATAAACTCACAATTGCTACATTAATTAGAGAAAAGACAGTCTCACTCCTATCCTTATTATAGGAGTCCACAAAAAAAAATTATGATGTTCCGAAAAGCTACAGTTACTAATTTAATGAAAATTGAAAGAAGATTTGTAGGGAGAATCAAGTTTCTAAGTGAATAAGCAATCCCTACCAATATGTATGTGGCTTTATGACATATGCTTTTTTTTTCCAGATGTTGTATGCCTCCTAGGTTTTCAGTCACATAATAATACTTAATTACTGTAGCCTAAATATTAAATCCTCTATTTCAGATATACGAAGTCTAGGCAGTTTATAGGTTGATTTAGCCACATAAACTTATTTTTCCTTCTCTTCTACAAATATCTTTCTTTCCTTCGGTCTTACCTCCATCCATCCTTCTCTGCTTCCTTCTTTTCTCCTTTATAAGTTTTTGTTGTTGTTGTTTTTAACCTTCTTGTTTCATGTTCTTAACATGACTGAACTAGCTCTACGTGTTTTATTCTCACATGGTAGCATTTAAAACAAGCAAGCAAGCAAACAAAAAGATTCTCTCTCTAGGAATGAAAGTTTCTCTCCCACAGTTCAGTGTGAATAGCTTTGGTCATCTTATATACCAGAATGGAGGCATTGTTAAAGCTGGGGAAGTGAAATCTGGTACTTTCAGTTTTTGTCAATGGAAACAGTACAAATAACCCAAGATTAACAGCTAACACAGTTTGACACATCTAGCCTAAGAAACTGGCAGTTGACTTCAATTCATTATGTCATACCCATGTGCTTATGCCAAATGACAAGTGTTTATAGTAGGCATTAGGAGACAAAAATGAAGAAATAGGTTGGTATTGAGAATAAAGAAAGGAAAAAGTTGGAATGTCATCTTTTCCAGTTTTCCTTTGAATGCTTCAGGCTAGACCTTTTCATTTCTCAGACATTATATACCTGGGCCTCACTTTTTAGGGTGTTGAGTTTAAGAAATCACAACATTACTCATTTATTATTTGGATAATTAATAATTATGTTAAAATGGATCATCTGTTTAAGTTCTAAACACAAATATGACTTTAACTTGCTGTGTAAGTAAACAATGCTCTTTATTGAAAAAATATTTTATTGTGACTTACAACAGTGTCATATTTTTAAAATCAGCTCCAAAATGGTTATATAATGCTACACAGAAACTTAAGGAATTTTAAATATATATATTTAAAATTTTATATATATATGTATATATATCTGACTTGATCTATATCTTTTTCCCCCCTCATTCCATTTTTTTTTTTTATTCCTCAGGATACAGAGTCATTGCATTTCTTACTTAACTTTTAAAATTCGTAGTTAAGCATTAATTAAGATTGTCTTAGTACTAGGGAGATGGCTCAGTTTTTAGTGTTTGCCATGAACACATGAGAACTTGAGTTCAAATCTCCAGTACTCCTGAAGGAAGCTGTGTGTGGTGGCACATGCCTGTAATCCTAATACTGAGTAAAAGGAGACAGGCAGCTCCTTGGAGCTTGCTAGCCATCTAGCCTCGCCAAATTGTTGATCCTTAGGACCTAAAAAACCCTTATTAACAATGACAATAAAAAGGCAGATGCAGCTTCCACACACAAACGTAAACATGTGCACATGCACAGAACACACATTAAATAACCTCTTCAGGTTAAGTGTGTACAGGATAAACCCATGTCAATTCTGTTTTTTTTTTAAAATAGAGATTATATTGTTACTTTGAAATAATTTTGTTAGGTTTTATATTAGTGTCCAAATCGGTGTCTACATCTTCAAATTTTTAATCTTACACAGTGCCATATACTTTAGTATCTACGAGTATCATAGTACAGAATTGCTTTATATGCTTTTAAAAATCTTAAGTACAGATCAGAATTTCAAGCTTATTATTTCTCTTTCTATTCTGTTTCAAATGTACCTGCCTGAAAGTGTCATTTCTCTTTGGATTATAAATCCCTATCTTACTAAGAGTCCCTTTTAGTATAACTTAGATAAAAAACTATATAGATAGCTTATCTTTATAGGGACAGACCTATAGAATGAATTGCCAACTGTTTCTTAATAGCTATCATATGCAAATTACTTTAAGTTTTTGTTATATTTAAAGAAATGATTTGTGTCTTGACTAGGATTAAGGTTGTTTTCTACCCTACTGTTCTTAAAGTTGTTTCCTTCCATTGACCCTTCCCACTTTCTCCCACTTGTTTTCTCTCAAATTCACAGCTATTACTTCTTTAATTGGTGTGTGTGTGTGTGTGTTTGTGTGTGTGTTACTAAATACAACCTGCTCTGCTCAGACAGGATAAGGTTACTTGTATGTGTATGATTTTAGGGCTCAGTACTTGGTATTGAATAACCAATTTGAGGTACTTGACCATGGGTGACTACTTGTCCTGCTCTCATCATTTCTTAATTGCCTTAATTGTTTTTTGTCTAGTGTTGGAGCCCCATGAAGTTCACCCCTATCCCCTTTAGTATATCTGTTGGTGTCATCTTTGTTCAGGTCTTATTTAGGCAACTGTATTGATGAGACTTCATGGATATCATTTCTAGGAGATGAAATCTTATAGCAAATTTTCTTTCCTGTTGCTCTGGCCCTTGCTCTGTTTCCACTCCCTCTTAACTCTGATCCCTGAACCTTACGTACAGGAGTTGGGTTGCACACGTATCAGTTGGGGCTGGGCACTCCATGGTCACTTGTTCTCTGTATTTTTATCAGTTGTAGTTTTCTGTAATAGCCTATGGTCTGTTGCAAGGAGATGTATCTTTGATGACAGGTGAGATCTCTACTTGCCTATAGACATAAGGATAAATATTTATAATGTAGCTAGGATTATACAGGTTTAGTAAACTGGTGTTTTTTAGGTTCTCCTCCAAGATCCATGACTTCACTAGCCTTGGTAGTTGCCTAGGCTTCTAGTACCAGGCATAGTTTTCCTGTTGTTGAGTAGATCTTAAGTTTAATTAGAGAGCTGTTGGCTAGCACTGAGGTATGCATGCCGTCACTGAACCCTTTGAGATAGCATGCTATGCTGTCATTTCTTTAGTTTATTGGCATCATAGCTGGGTAGGACTATTAGTTGCTTCTCTCCTTTGGAAACTTGCATGGTGTCATCTTGTATCATGAAAGTTAGTCCTCAGGAATGAGGCTTTCAGGTCAGAACCAACTTGGATTGTCTGGGTTCTGTGTCTGAAGTACATGATACTGTATCTCCAGCAATAGAGACTTATCTTCAATCCCTAGGAGACAACCGGGGGCAGTTGAAATAACCTGTGTTTTGGGAGTTTCTTGGACTACCCTGACCAGTGCATTAAAATGTATCCTTTGGCTAACACCATGTTCCCATGTGAGATATTAGTTATAAGAGGATAAAAGGGGAGTACCTGAATCTTGTTATTGACAGGGTCTGGTCTTCCTCGTCTGTTGTGTACAGGATAAAACATATGTATACATTGGCAATGAGTTAGGAAACTTTCACTTACTTGTATTTGCTTCTCTTTTACACACACACACACACACACACACACACACACACACACACACACACACGTATTCACTGTTGCTTTCATTACATTTATGGATATGTAACTCTAATATTTGTTCATGATTCCTCCCTAAGATTATTGAAATTTTATTTATTATACAACAATTCTTTAAAGAAATACACAAACATACCCAAATAACATAAGGTTTTTTTTAATCAGTATTTTGCAATACATATGGCCCTTTATTATTTTGCAGTGCTAGGATCGAATCCAGGTCTTGCTCATGTTAGGTAAGTGTTGTATGGATGAAGTATATTTCCAACCCCAACAAAGCCCTTTAGAGAAAAAAAAAAGTTGGTAATTTGAGGCTAGTTGATTGCATTTCAAATGCAGTAATTTTTTATTATGATGTATAAAAATTACTTCCTCAATATTTTATTGATGTAACCATCACTAGGAGATTTGTCAAAAAAGAAATATTATGTGGTGATGGTTTGTTTTTAAAATGACCTATGGAGTAAAAACTTTCAACTTTTTTTTCTTTTTTAGGATATAGCAGATCCATTTTTTGCTTATTGTAAACAACATGCAGATAGGTTAGACAGAAAGTGGAAAAGAAAAAACTACTTGGCTCTACAGTCCTATTGTAAAATGTCTTTGCAAGAGAGAGAAAAACAACTATCTCCTGAAGCACAGGTATGTATGGGAATCACACCAAAACTTACTGTTTTCTTTTCAGATTTCATGTGTATTTTCTATTGATGTGAGTGACATTGAGATCTAGCATATAAAACATAGTTTAAATTTTTACTTAAGCAGTAGTTTGTGATTAAACATGAGTAGAGTTTGTTTCTGAAGGTATTATTCTTCATCATGTCTGTGGTGTAGTCATTTGTAAAGTATTATTTCTATGTTGAAAATTTTAGTTGGAGACATTATGCAGAGGGTCTAAATTAGAGATCTCCATCAAATCCTTCCCCTCAGAGCTCAGGGAATTCTGCAAAAGAGGAGGCAAAAAGATTGTAAGAGTCAGAGGGGATGGAGGCCACCACGAGAACAAGGCCTTCTGAATCAACTAAGTACGGTGCATATGAGCTCACAGAGACTGAAGCCGCAAGGACAGGGCCTACATATGTCTACACCAGGTCCTCTGCACCAGTATTATAACTTATTCCTGGCTGTGAGAATGAATGGATCTCTGACTATTTTGCCTGCTCTTGGGGCTCTTTTCCTCCTGTTGTGTCCAACTTTGATATGAAAGTTTTTGCTTCATCTTACTACATTTTATTTTGTCATGTTCGGTTGTTATCTCTTGGAAGCCTGTTCTTTTCTAATAAGAGGCAAAAAGTGAGTTGATCTAGAGGGGAAGGAGGTGGGAAGGAACTGAGAGGAGTGGAGGGAGGGGAAAGTAATCAGGATATGTTGTATAGGAAAATAATATATTTTCATTAAAAGAAAATAATTTTTTGAAAAGAAAACAGGCTTCTAAAGGATAATAATAAAATATAATAAGATAAAACAGAAACTTACATTGGAATAAGACAAAACAAACAGACAGAAGGAAAAGAACCCAAAAGAAGGCATAAGAAACAGACCCTTTATTACCACACACAGGAATCTCACACAGGAAGCCACGGTATATATGTAAGGACCTGTAGGATAAAAGACAGATGAAAAAGTTATATATAAATAAAATTAAAAATAGTAAAGAACTTTTCAAAAAAGGAAAAGGTCTGAAATAATACTGTAAGACAAGAACCTCTAACAGTGTTTTGAGTTCGTTTTCTCTTGGCAATCTATTGCTGGTCCTGCAGCCTGTCCTTATGAGTAGTTTGTTTCCCCAGTGAGACTCCCTTGGAGGGAACTAAGTTTTCATTTGCAAGTGGTTATCAATTGGAGATTGCTTCTGGGTTAGACATGGGGGCCTATGTCCATTTCTTTAGCTCTAGGACCCCATCTGAGGGCAGCTGCTCTGAGGTATGGACCCATTTATTACAACTCCAGAATTATGTGGTACATCTCCAAAGACCACTTGATAAATCTGATTTGCCTTAATTATAAGATTTTAGTATTGTTATCATCTCTAAGCAAATGTAAAAGTTATGAGCAATATATTCCATTTTTTCTTTCAAACTTTCTGCATTTCTTTATAGGCAAGGATCAATGCCCGACTGCAGCAATATCGTGCCAAGGCAGAGCTGGCTCGATCTACCAGACCACAAGCCTGGGTACCAAGGGAAAAGTTACCCAGGCCACTCACAAGTAGTGCTTCAGCCATTCGTAAACTGATGCGCAAAGCAGAACTAATGGGGATCAGTACAGATATCTTTCCAGTGGACAATTCAGATACTAGTTCTAGTGTGGATGGAAGGAGGAAACATAAGCAGCCAGCTCTCACTGCTGATTTTGTGAATTACTATTTTGGTCAGTACAGACACTAATACATGCACAATCTTCCTGAGAATAATTTACTAATGACAGAATTTGATATATTATTAATGTTTTAGAAAATCATTCCTATGTTATATATGTAGTTTCCTAAGTTGTAGCCTTTTGTAACTTCTAGCTCACATTTTATTTTGTTTTTAAATATACTTAGAATTGTTTGATCAATGTAGGTTTATCCAAATGACCATCTCTATGGCTAGTTTGATTCTTTGTGTATGTTTTATATTGGCCTTTACTTTCTACTGAAGTAAAATTGGATATTTAATTTAAATAGAGAGAAATATGCGCATGATTCAAATTCAGGAAAATATGGCTGAACAAAAGAATATAAAGGATAAATTAGAGAATGAGCAAGAAAAGCTTCATGTAGAATATAATAAGGTACGTTGGCTATAAATACACAGTATTTAGTAGATCGTATTTATAGTTGTTTTGTGATTTTATTGTATTTCTGTGGTTCAGTTTGAAATTCTGTAGCTCTTAGGCTCTTTTCCACCCGCCTTCATCATTTTCATTACCATCATTCTCTTCCTGAGCACTTCCTTATACTAGGCACTGTTTGATCTCTTGACATATACTAAGTCATTCAGTTCTCTACTTGACGCTAGGGGTTGGAACTGAGCTTTGAAGAGGTAACATAATTTGTACATGGCCACACAATTATTGGTGCTGGTGTTTGAAACTAACACAGCTAACCTCATTTCTTATTTGTAACTGTACACACCATTATAGACCTTTTTTTTTTTTAAAGTTTGTTGAAAATTAGAAAACTCAGCCTTAAATTAGTAATCTTTCCTAAATTAGATGGTATTTTTGATACAAATATTTCTCCATTTAAAATTTTACTTTAAATCTTCCTGCCTAATATCATATAAAGCAAGATATTACTGAATTGTTAGGTTCTAAGTAGCATGAATATTTAAACTGGTATCTAATTATTGTTCAAAAAACATTTAAAGAATTGAAATTAGTAGGAAATAACGTCTGGTAATCCCCAAAGACTATGGGGAAATAAAGCCAGACGGTCTGGAGATTTTTGGTAGTTATTATGATCTTAGCCAAATGAACCTCTGTGATTCTTAGTTTTCTCATGAGAAAAGTAATGGAAATGTGTGATTTGATAAAAACATAGCAAAATATGTGTTAAATTATGTGCCAAACTAATGAAATATATAGATATATAACTATCATCATTACTAAAAACACTAGAATAAAAGAAAGTGTTTACCTTCTCTTGAGCGTGTTCACCATGCTAAGTAATAATAATATATCTTTGTCTTTCAGTAGTTATCTGACTTGAATATATTACAATATATGGAAAATAAATGTGGAAATTTTTATTTACTTATATTTATACATAAAAAGCTTACTAATTTGACTTAATCTTTGTGTAGCTCTGTGAATCTTTAGAAGAACTGCAAAATCTGAATGGGAAACTTCGAAGTGAAGGGCAAGGAATATGGGCCTTACTTGGCCGAATTACAGGGCAGGTTAGTTTCTTTTCAGTTAGTTTCTTCAATTCTTGCTCTCTGTGAATTTTCAAAGTACATATTTCTTACATAATAGCCACTTTGTTAACTAAATAATTCTATTCGATCGGAGCCTAATCCCCTGGGGTAATGATTTCTGTCTGAAATACTTCCAGACCACTGGCAGCCACTGCCTACTGAGAACCTGTACCTTAATTTGGTTCATTCATCAGCTATCTTGTTGGTATTTTTTGTTTGTTTGTTTGCTCAAATTGATTGACTTGTCATTTCTGATGAGCTAAGATGTGAAGCGTGAGTTTTCTCTAGTATATTCTTTATTCAGTGGTTTTAGATTCTTTGTCACAGTTTTTTTCTTTCCATTCTTGTGTCCTGCTCATTTTTGCAATTTATTTGTATTTAAAATTAAAAAATTCAAACAGAGACATTCATTTTTATGTTAATTTCGTTTTCATCTGCACAAGAGGTACAGTTTTTGAAACTTAGATGTTAAACTATGTTTTTTTGTATGTACTGGTAACTATTAATAGTAGTTATAGGACAAGCAAAGGAAAGGCCCTGTGTCCTTGAGCAACTGTAGCCTGTTAATGTGCTTCATATTAAAAAGAAAAACGTTCTAAAATGGAGGTTTTTAGATGTCCTTTAATACTATGTATAATAAATGATAAGATTTTTTTTTCACATAATTTCACTTATAAGTATAGGTGATAGAGACCCACTGTTTGTGGTTCTTTTGTAAATTAATTTGTAGGATTTTTAATTGTATAAATTTTAGACATCTGTAAAAATCAACTTCCTGATATAATCTATATAAATATAAAGTAATGCATGTTGATTTGTACAGTACCCTGTTGGTTTTGAAGAAACTTCTTTTGTGAACAGAGTGCATGTCATTGGTACCACAAAGAATAATTCATTTTAAAAGGCAAAGAGGAAGAGTTACCTTTAGGCATATTAACTCTTGTTCCTGTTGATAGGTAGTTAATAGATTTTTGGAAGATTATGTTATTTGGGGAGTGTAAAAGGCTACTTGCCAACTAACTAGCATTTGGTTTTCACTTGGTTTATATTTGTTCCATAAAAACCTCCTCTACAGTTTAAAATATTATCTACTATAAAAGACATTTCCATTTATTAAATAACTTCATAGGAGATTGCAAATTGCATTGTGTGAAGGTGGCATGCACAGACATAAAATTCATGTTTATCATTTTGTGATGCTTTTCCGGTTGGCTGAACAGATGTGGGCTCACTGGGCCACTAAGAGATGACTTTGATAGATGGTTGCTGTCTCAGAAGCCAGCATACTACAGATTAGTGGAGAGCCAAGGAGAATCTCATCCGCTTTTTTACAGGGTTTGGTCCAATAAGATAATTTTTCTAATTAACCTATGAAACACCAATATAGCTGGGAAGTTGCAAAGAAACAGATTGATGTTTTTGCCCAAGTATATACCGTGTTAGATTTTTAAGCCTTCTCTACTGTCCTCATCTTTTAGGGTTTTCAAGCTAAAGTAGCGTATTTCTCATAATGTGGAGTGTAATTCTGAGAACTGATGAGTGTGTAATTGTAGCTTTTTAATAGAAGAAAGTGAGATTAAAAAATCGTTTTCTTTCTCTTTACTAATATTACTAGTAAGGCAGATTTGCCTCTCTGAATCCTAGCTTATCTAGTTAGATTTAGTGGCAAATAGGGGAAAATGTTGCTTTGTACTTCATCTTTAAAACAGCATCTACTACATTTATTGCTATCAATAGAAGCTGAATGTACCGGCAATTTTACGAGCACCTAAGGAGAGAAAACCCAGTAAAAAAGAAGGAGGCACACAAAAGACATCGGCTCTTCCTACAGTACTTTATAGGCAAGTAATGAAATCATAAGAGAATAATATTGTTCATCTGTCAACTAATATGTACTAGTCAGAAGATGTACACATCTGAGAGCAATTATGGTCCATTTCAGAATTTCAGCTAAGTATGTTTTAGGTTCATTTGATCAAAAATGCTTTGTAGATTGGATGATACAAGAGGTATTTGTTGTTCTTCAGAAAGATAAATGATGTATCTTCTAAGGAACTGAGAATAAATTTTCATATGCTCCATGGAAACAAAGAATTCCATGGAAATAAGAAATTACAAAATACCCAGACAAAATAGCTCAGTTGGGAGAGTGTTAGGCTGAAGAAAGTACAAAAGTACTTTAAAAGCTGTGCCTGTTATGTTCCATTTAATCTCTTAAGTTTACTTATAATCAGTAATTATATAATTTTTAATGAACTTAATAAGTAAACATTTATATTTTACTTGAATGAGTTGTAAAATTTTGCTTTTGATTTAGGTAGTGATGAATGGTAATGAATAAAGATGATGAATTTTATATTTTTGTCTGTTTGTACTTTTTTCTCTCCTTGCTCAGTTGTAATAATTTCATTTCCAGACATAGTTTTCTCCTTTACTTCCTGTGTTCAATATTTCAACAGTATTGATCACTGTAGTAGTTTTACATGACAATTCCATTTTCTATATCTAAATAAAGGCTTCATTTTTTTCTATATTTTAATAAGAGATCACTTTTTTCATGTAATGTATTAATCACAATAAGCAAGAATTTAGAAAATGCTGTATTTACATATGTATTTATAGTATAAATACATGTAAAAATAACATGCTTATATATGTATGTATACATGTGTATATATGTGAAATATGGGAAAGCACATTGTTGTCTTAGTTTATAGTGTGAACTTGAGTGTATTACCACACTTTTTCCCCAAGCATATTGGTTCTTTTGAAAATATTAGGCATAGCACTAGATGTTGGAGTTTTATGACTACAATTATTTTTTGCTTCAGAATATGTTTAAACTGATTTTCTTTTAAGATCTGGTGAGAATTTTGTTGTTGGTTTTGTTAATGCTGCTCATTTTTGTTATTATTGCTGCTTTATATATGTGTTTCCAGGAATATTGAAAATACCTGACATTATTGTTCTTCAGTTTGCTCTGCATTCCTGTTTCTCTTAGGTTCTCAGACAGCTTTTCCCTCATTCTGTAATTCCCACTATAAATATATGCTAAATGTGCAAGCCATGGTGCTCATTTCCTTAGAAGTAAAATTGCCTTTTCCCACAAGAAATGTTAGCTGTTTTAAAAATTCCTAAAGCTTGTACTATATCAATTAGTATGTTCTTTTTAACTTAAAATCTGACTTGTGTAGCTTATTTGTATGTGTAAGGCTATTTGAAAGGTTTGCATTTAATAATAAAAAACAAAGGTGTTTGTGGAATAATTTCTTTTGACCTTCAGGGTAGTTTTAAAAATTAGAATACTCTTTTTCATAATTTATGTTTCTTTCATAGTTTATGTTTTTAAAGAAAAATTGAACTAATGCTAAATGAATTTCAAGTAATAACTAAAAGACTATGTTGAGAATACATATCTTAAATATTCCCATTGTTTAATGGGTTTAGCTTTAGAAAACTTAAAGCTTATATTAGATCTAAACTCCTTTTAACTTTCTTTATTTAGAACAGTTACTGGCATTGTTAAAACAATGCTGCGAAAAACGTAAGTTATTGCAGGGTCCTGTACATACCTATTCTCTACATGCTAAGGCAAGGAGGATCATGAGATCAGGGCCAGCCTAGTCCTTATAGCAAGACTCAGTCTCTAAGGACTGGAAATGCCGTAGCAGAAGACAGAGTTATCAAGTTGAAAGCTATTGAACTCAGAGCTGCTGTAATTAAACTGTTTCCCTATGTACATCAGTGTAACTTTCATTTGCTGCTTTTATTGAAGTTGTGGAATTTGTAAGAAGAACCATGACCAGCATCTCCTTTTACTGTGTGACACCTGTAAGCTGCATTACCATCTTGGGTGCCTTGATCCGCCCCTTACAAGGATGCCGAGAAAGACCAAAAACAGTTACTGGTGAGTGAAACAGGCTGGATATGCTTGGAGTTGGTTTGCTTTTATCTTTAGCAGTACAGCTGTGTTACATCACTAATTCATAGTAAAGCACTTTTTCATACCTTTGAATTGAATATTTGTCAGTCTTTCTAACTATTACATGAATAAAATAAAATATTTGTAGAAATGAACTTTTAATCTTAGCAATGTATTCTTTCTTACATAAGGCGCCAGAGGTTTTTCTGGTGAGTTTATAATTTTCTTTCATTTTGTGATTTGGTATTTCTCAAATTCTTTACTTTTATTTTGAAGTTAAATAAATTTTAAGTTTCATCAGCCGTTCTTTGAAAATCCAGAAACTTTGAAAACTTCTGTTTTGTTTTAAGACAAAGTCTCCTTTTCCAGTTTTATGTTGGAGTCATTAGATAGCTAGGGATGACCATCAATTTCACAGCTTCCTGCTTCTCCTCCTCAGTGCTGGGGCTATAGGCCTATGCCAACATGCTCAGTTTATGTGGTATAAGGAATTGGACCCAGGGCTTTGTTGTGCTTAGCAAATATTTCATCAACTTAACTACATCCTCAACTACAACCCTGAAAAACATCTCTTAATTATCTTTTCACTGACTTAGTCATGTTGAATCACTACAGATATTTTATTAAAGTTTCTTTTCTTGTTTCTGTGATGAAACACCATGAAAAAAAAACAAAACAATTTAAGATTGAGAAAGGTAATATTCTCAATATAGTAATATTCTCACAGTTCAAGGTAGTATTCTCACAGTTCAGGGTTCAGGCCATCATGGCTGGGATGTCAAGGCAGAAGGATCTTTATCTTGTCATGCAATAAGATGGGGTTTTCTATGTCAATTAACATAATCCAGATAATCCCTCACAGGTTTAGCCTTAGAATCTCCCAGGTGATTCTCAGTTCTCTCAAGCTGACTGTTAACAGTAACCATCCCAGATGCATATAATGAATTTTATCCTAGGTTTAGTTCAAGGAAGAAGCAGGCGCTCAGATTTTAATCGACTTAATTGTCATAGTATTTCAGGAAGGGGAATGCAGACAAGGAAAAACTAGGAAATGAGTATTCTTTTTATGCAAAAATAATTGATCTAGTCTTAGAAAAGAAAAGGACCTGAATCCTGGAGTTGCAATCTATTGAAGAGGGTATGGATTCGGGGGCCTAGAGAGATGGCTCAGTGGGTTACAGTGCTCATTGTGCCTGCTTGAGGACCCATGTCTGGATCCCCAGGACCAGAATAAGGAGTGCTTTGTGGCTTCGGGTGGGTGCAATCCTTGCCCTTGGAGGCAAAAACATGAGAATCCTGGAAGCTCTCTGTTCATCCAATCTAGCTGGATCTATGAGTTCCAGATTGAGTAAGAGCCTCTCTCAAAAAAATAAAGTGGATCTGGGAGGAGCTGGTAGAGGGCAGAGCTTTAGCAGAATATACTGTATGAAAAAAAAATTTTAAACCGCAACAACAACAAAATAAAGCGGAAAGTGATGGAGGAAGACACAGATATCTTCCTGTGGCCTTCACCTATACACACACAACATGCACACAAACATACAAAATGTAGATACATGCATGTAAGGAAAACATGTGGCATTTGCCTTTGTGAATTGTATATTTTACTTTTCTGTGCATTCCAGTCTTCTGCATTTTTCAAGTAACTGGTCACAACTTTGATGAATTGCTGACTCTCTTCTTTTGGGGATATATGACCCTCCCCCTCATCCGGTCCCAGAGAGACATTTTATCCATTATCTTACCCAAAATAACGTTTTGTTGTTGTTGTTGTTGTTGTTGTTGATGTTTTTTGACACAGGATTTCTCAGTAGACCTGGCTGTCCTGGGAATTCACTATATCGAACTCAGGCCTATCTCTGCCTCCTGAGTGCTGGGATTAAAGGCCTGCGCCGCCATGCCTGGCTGGAAGATTATTTTTTTAAAAGATGATTTGATAGTGGTTCTGGACAGAATGTGTAGCAAATTTAAAAGATTCTCTTGATATTTCAACATGAAAGTGAATGTTGTTCTTTTGCATAACTCCTCACGTGATCTTTGTAATTTAGTGTTGAAACTCCATTTTATTTAATAGTTTTTAAAAATATTTTTCTTTTATTTTTGAAATTATAATTTCATCGTCTCCTTCTCTTTTTCCACTTCCAAACACTTCTCTTGCTGTCTTTCAAATTCACAGCCTCTTTTATCGTTAATTGTTGTTCCATGCATAAATGTTTGTACATATATATTCTTATTTATAACCTGCTCTGTCTGTATAATGTTACATATGTGTGTGTGTGTGTGTGTGTGTGTGTGTGTTTCATGAACTGACCATTTGCTGTTAGATAACCAATTTGTGTGTGTGCTGTTGTCTGGGAAGACTATTTCTCCCACTCTTAGAATTCCTTATTTGCTAGTAGTTCTTTGTGTAGGATTGAAGACTCATTGCTATGAGTGGTGTGTCTTTCCCCTCTCCTGTTCCCATTCACTTTGACATGTCTGTTGTTGTTGTCATTATTCAGTTCATGTTTAAACAATCATGTTGATGAAACTTTATGGATGTATTCTAGGAGACACAGTTTCACACAGACTCCCTGATCCCTGCCTTTTATAATCTTTCTACCCCTCTTCTTCAGTGTTTCCTGAACCTTAGGTATAGAAGTGTTGTCTAGATGTATTCATTGGGACTGGATGTCACAACTCTGCATTTGGATTGATGGTGTTTTATCTGTAATAGTTTCTGTTACAAAGAGATGTTTTCTTGATGAGGTGTGAGGACTACACTTACCTATAGGTATAAGGACAAACATTTAAAGTGTAGTCAGAGATTATGCTGGTTCATTAAAGCAGTGGTTTGTAGGTTCCAGCCTAAGATCGATTGTTGCTGGTCCTGCCTGGCTACTGTGGCCTTGTGGTCCCGCAACCGCTCAGACCCAAATGAACACACAGAGGCTTATATTAATTACGAACTGTATGGCCTACTGGCTCATCTAGCTAGCGAGAAACCTGAGTGTTTCTCGCTAGCTAGATCTTACATCTTAAATTAGTCCATAACTATTAATCTATGTATTGCCACATATTCCGTGGCTTTACCTACGTCCCATTATATGTTGCTCCTTGGGTGGCTCTCTGGCATCTTCTCTGCCTCTCCTTTCTCTTCCTATCTATCTGTTTGGATTTCCCACCTGCCTCTAAGCTGCCTTGCTATAGGCCAAACAGCTTTATTTATCAACTAATCAGAGCAACACATATTCGCAATGTACAGAAAGACATTCCCCCATCAATCAATGACATTCATTACTGGGTAATTGAGTACCAGGCATGATTTTCATCTTTTTGAGTAGGAGTTAAGTCCAATGATAGAATTGTTGGTTACTGCCAAGTTATGTGTGCCACTACTGTACCCTTACGGTAATTGTGCCATGTTGGTATTTGTTGTGGTTCATAGGCACCGTAGCTGGTTAGGACTGTTACTTGCATCCCTCCTCTGGAAGCTTGTATGGTACCTTCTGGTACTATGAAAGCTAGTCCTCAGGTGAGGAGGCTTTCATGTCAGCTCCAGCTTAGGGGCCTCTGGGCCCTGTGTCTACAGTGCATGGTGTCTTCAGCAATAAATAGGGATTTACCTTCCACTTCTCAGGAGTAACTGTGGACAATAACAATAGCCTGTAATGTTTTGGAAGTCTCTTGGACAACCCTAGCCTACAAATTAAAAGAGTGCATTTCATGCCTGTGTTGGGGTTTTTGCTAAGTGGTCTTGGATCTTTGAGGGGGCATTGTCAGCTAATAGTTTTGATTACTTCAATTACTTCAAAAATCTTCAGGTTTTTTTTGCATAGGAATTACAAACTGTAGGTCCCATCTCTGATAGAATGTATGTATTAAGTAAATACATAGATAATTAAATGAGCTTCATTAATAAGCTTGTGTGTCATAGTAGTATAGCTGAAAGTTTTCCTGTGTCCCACCTAGCTCATGGTCAGGACAAATCTCTCTCACCCATTGGTTCTGCAGCCACTATGACCCAAATAAACACACACAGGCTAATATTTTTAAGCTATGGCCATGGCAGGCTTCATGTTATCTAGTTCTTATATCTTAAATTAACCCATTTCTATAAATCTGTACTTTGCCATGTGGCTCGTGGCTTACCAGTATCTTTGCATCTTGCTTCTCATGGTGGCGGCTGGCAGTATCTCTCAGCTCTGGTTTTCTCTCTCTAGTTGGAATGTCCCGCCTAACCTTATTCTGCTTCACCATTGGCCAAACAGCTTTATTTATCAATCAGTCAGAGCAACACATATTCACAGCATACAGAATGACATCACCCATCATAGTAGTGCCATAGATTACTAAATGAATTCAGGTACATGTTTTTGACATTTCCAGGGTAATCATCACTTACCCTGAAAATGTTCTTTGATCCCATTGAATTGAATATGCTGTGGCTTTTATACTAGACCGTTATGTAGATAGATATCTTAAAGGGTGTTTGAAGGTGGAGAATATAGTGTTAATATATTGTTGAAAGTGAAAATGGTCCATCTGTGTAGATGTATATGGCGTGACTCATGAGAGCCGCCTTAAAATTGGAATACATATTCTGTATTGTCAGTTACAAAATTTTCTTGGTAACTTGAGTTTTTTGATGTTTCAGGGTTTCATGACATGCCATTTTAATTGTCTGAATGTTCTAGAACAAATTTACTTATCATTTAAATTTTTAGTGGGTTTGGGAATGAGCATAAGAACACAATGTTGTAATGATGAGTAGTAGCTACAAAAACAGAAATAAAGTGACAATGTTTTAATTTGAAAACTAGATTACACAAAAGGTACATGTTTTCATATTATAGGGATTTATATATTTTTACAGTGAATATGAGTGATTGGGGAAAAGCTCAGTTCATATAGTGCTTACCATGCAAGCCTATGGCCTGAGTTTGATATCTCTAAGCCCTGTAACCCAGACTTGATGGTGGTGCACGCTTGTAAATCTCAGTACTGGGCAGGCAGAGACTCTAGATCTTTAGGGCTTACAGCTCAGTCAGTAGCCTAATCAATAAGCCACAAGCCAATAGGAGACCTGAGGATCAACACTCAAGTTGTCCTCTGCTCTCCACATGCACAGGCAACACACACACACACACACACACACACACACACACACACACACAGAGGATTGGAATGCTTGAGAAACTATGACATTTCATTGAGCTGATGAAAATGATCAATTTGTTATTAGTTTGTATAATTTAGACATATAAAGCAGAAAAATGATCCACTTGAGACATAATTTGATATTGTTTGTAGGCTTATTTACTTAAAATGGCTGTGGCATTTTATTATTTAAAAAACAATACAAAAAAACCTTAGCATTTCACAGTTTTTCATAATTTTGTTTGCCTCTTCAGAATATGTTCATCAAGTAAATTCTGGGATTATGTAAGGCGTTTATGTAGTACCATATCAGTTACTGATGTTTTTATTTGAAATAAGTATAAGAGCAGTTTATTACTGATTTGGTAATCTATAAAACATCTTTTAGTTGCACTAGCAACATACATGTAAGAATTTTGTAAGTTATGCATTAGAGAATAACACTTTACTTTTCTCACTGATACTTTGCATTGTAGCAGTTAATATGATTATTTCAGCAAGACAAATAGTACTTTGTATTTATGCTGTAGAACCCAGAATTTAAAGATCTCAGTTTTAAAAGTAAAAATAAGCTTAATAATAAGTCTGTATTATTGATATATCAAAAATAAAAGTTTTGATGGAGAGTGAATTAAATGATAAGAAATGCTTAGAGATGTTTGAATTTTAAGTTACATTCAAAGGTACAAATATTAAAACATGTAAAGTAAATATATCATATATCACAAATTAGACTTTTGGAAACCTTTTTAATCCTTTTAAATTATATTTGAAGAAAATGTATAAGTTTACTTTTAACAGCTGGCAGTAATGTGGTTTTGTTCATTTGTTAGTTTTCTTTGGTTTTTCGAGACAAGGTTTCTCTGTATAATAGCCATGGCTGACCTGGAACTCTGTGGGCCAGGCTGGCTTTGAACATTCAGATCTGCCTGCCTCTGCTTCCCAAGTGCTGGGCTTAAAGGTGTGCGCCACCATACCCAGCTTGGTTGTAACGTTTTAATGGGCATATATAATTGGCAGAACACACTTTTCTAGGTCTTCACTGACAAGGTAAAGGTTTTGCTTGGTTTACTAGTAAAATGACTACTCACTCCAACACTTCACAGATCCCATTTTTTTCCAGATGGTATATTCAGCATACTATGACAAAAAATATAATGAAAAAGTATGGTAATGAAATATAAGAATGAAAGTCCATAAAAGACTTTTCAGTATATGTCACATTAAAAAAGTCATCATTTCTAAATAGGAAGATACCTTCTTAGTGAGTGGTCTATGAGTTCTCTTGGCTTGCAATAGCATTGTTCCATTTGTTCTTGTAGTATGTGGCTACACTGAATTGCTTTCTGTAACAGTCATGATAGTCATTTTGGCAGGTGTGGAGGTGTGCTTCTGTGTGTTGTCATTATCACACTGCCTGTGTGTATTTGTGTGTGTGTGTGAATTCTTTTTGTATTTATAGAAACTGTAGCTAAAATCAGAAGATAATAAATATTGACTTTATTTTAACAAAAATTTTTTCAGGCAGTGCTCAGAGTGTGATCAGGCTGGGAGCAGTGACATGGAAGCAGACATGGCCATGGAAACATTGCCAGACGGAACCAAACGATCAAGGAGACAGATTAAGGAACCAGTGAAATTTGTTCCCCAGGACGTGCCACCAGAACCCAAGAAGATTCCAATAAGAAACACGGTATTTATTCTTCGTTTATTGATCTCAGTGATATTCTGATGGAAAAATTTAAAAGGAGTTATAGCATAAACATACACTCAGAAGTCAAACAGGTGTTCATATTGCTCTTTGTTATTTCTATGAATTCAGTTCTCAGTATTATGTCAGTATTACAATATTAACATATTGTATTTAGTTGGGAATCTAGCTTGTGGGTTCAGGTAAAAGCTTAATGGTGGGTACTAGTATTTCTGACACTGTACTTAAAAATAGGACGTTACTGAAGCCTTGGACTCCTGGGCCTGCCTCTGCAAGCTCATATGTATAAGAGTCCCTTTCATCTCAGCTTTGTATTTCTCATCACCTAATCATTTCCTTTATTTTTTTATTTTTTTTGGCTTTTCAAGACAGGGTTTCTCTGTGTAGCTTTGCGCCTTTCCTGGATCTTGCTCTGTAGACCAGGCTGGCCTCGAACTCACAAAGATACGCTGCCTCTTCCTTTATATTTCAAACCTGTGTAGTCATGAACAGTATTTAATTTAGTCTGTTAAGTTTGGGGTTTTATGTGAATGGAGAAATCAAACTTTTGTTTTCTTTCTATAACATTATCTTTGTTTTAGCTAATTCTGTAAATGCTCCCTATAGTATGGTTATGAACATTTAGAGAATGTATAGATTCCCTGAGTTGCAGACTATTTGTGATTCACCAGATTACCTCCCTGGGACCCAAAAGATGGAAAGAAAGGAAAGGACTGGACCTACATGCTCTGGCACATTCATGTTCAAAGGCATGTATGTGCTCACACAGAGAGAGACACACACAAAATATAAAAACAAAACAAAACAAAATGTAGGTCTTCTGGATGGTTCGAGGCCATCCTGGTCTACAGAATGAGTTCCAGGACATCCAGGGCTACACAGTGAAACCCTGTCTTGAAAAAAAAAAAAAACCCTTTTCAAGTAATAACAAAATAAGGGTTGTATGTTTTTAAAAAGGAGTTTTTCAGACACTTGTAACTTTAAAATAATAAAGACTTTTAAAATGAAGTAAAATTAAATTAATAAAATTTAAAATAATAAAGGCCCTTAAAATATAACAAAACAAATGACAACGCTAAACCTAGAAGTATCTATCTCCCTCAATATCCAGATAAAGTTTTTTATTTTTTGAAAAAAAAAACCTATCTTGGTACAAGAGAAAAAAGTAAAAGATATCTCCCCTAAGAAGTCATAAATGCAGATTAGCCCTTATGGGTCTGGAGAGAGAATGTATACTACTGATGTAAATAGAAAACACACACTAAATTCTTATTTAAAATAGTTGTATGTTGAAAGAGATCCTTATGCATCTAGTAATAACTAACAGAAATACTTCCTAAAGAAATTCTTTAAATTTTGACCTCAGAGTATTTTCAGTGAGCTAGAAGAATTGGCAAAAGATTTATATACTTGTTCCTTGAAAAGTAAATATGATAGACTAAAACCATATAAACAGATGGCCAAGGTCATTAACACTGATGGAAACTCACATGACAGGACACCTTTTTTTCATACATCTGTTTGGAAAGCATTAAAATACTGGGCACATCTTTGAAGCATGAGAACACTCTCCATTCTGGCACGCATATAAACATGTGAGAAACACACAAGAAGAATCGAGTCTATGCAGTCTGAATTAATTTCTCATGTCCTCTTTTGAGCTCTGTAAATTTTCAATTGAAATACAAATGGAAATGGTTTTTATACATTTGGTTATTGTGTGACATATTTAATAAGTGAGATATTTCTCTCTCCTTTTCTTTATTTTTTTATTTTTTATTTTTTTCCCTTTTCCTTTGAGACAGGATCTCTCTATGTATCTCTGGCTGTCCTGGAACTATGCAGACCAGACTGTCCTGGAACTCTGCCTGCCTCTGCCTCCCAAGTGATTGTATTAGAGACATATGCCACCACCACTCCTGGCCTGAGATCTTTCTCCTTTGATGCTATATTCTGATACTAAAATGGTATTTTCTCTGGTGCCCCTTTGAGTAGTGTTAATGTGAAAGCCAGTCATATGTCTACTGTTAATTTGTATGTCTGGAGTCATTCACATTAAACATCAGTGTGGTGGTTTGAATGTGAATGGCCCCTGGGGGCTCATATCTTTGAAAATTTGGTCCTCAGTTGGTGGAACTATTTGAGAAGGAGTGGGAGCTTTATCCTTGTTGGAGGAGGTATGTCACTAGGGCAGGGTAGACTTTGGGGTTTTGAAAGACCTTGACTTTGCTGCTCTTTTTCTCTTCAAAATATACATTTTGTGTTTCTTTTTGCCCCACTTGCTCTTTTTCATTATAGACTTGCAGAAGAGTAATTATTAATAACTATGTGGCAGAGCCAATACAAGCCTGTCTTGAAATCTTTTCCATCAAAGAAATTAGTTGATTACCTTTCAATTCAGCCTCAGGCAGTTTCATAGGACAAGACCAGAAGGCATTCTCAGTATACCTCTCTGCCTCCTGTTTTGCTGTTTGGAGATGTGAGATCTCAGCTACTAGACATGCTAGAGTCATGGGATATCTTCCAGTGATAGCTGCACACAGGGAGTAGAACCAGCCCAAAAGAGAGCTGTATCTTGCAGGCATCCAACCTGGAAGAGGAGAGCTGTCTGAACCTGCTGACATTGGACAATGGAACTACACTATTTGGACTTGGCCCTTCTGGGTTTCGGTCTTGCTTTGATTCAATACTTCCCCACTGTGCCCCCTTAACTCCCTTTTTGGAATGGCAATGTATATTCTGTGCCATTTTATATTGGAAATACATATTTTGCTTTTTGATTTTTACAGGGTGTTACAGTTAAGAAATTGCCTTGAGCTTTTAGGGGAGATTTTGGACTTTGGACTTTTAAACAATGTTGAGGCTGTGGAAGACCATGGAGACATTTGAAGTCGGACTGAATGCGTTTTGTATTATGATATAGCCATGAGACCATGTGGGCCAGGGAGTGGAATGTAGTGGTTTGAATGAGATGTTCCCTGTAAGTCTCAGGCATTTGAGTACTCTGTTCCTAGTTGGTGGATGTTTGGGAATGATTAGGAGGTTTGGCCTTGTTAGATGAGGTGTGTCACTGGAACAGACTGAATGTTTCAAAAGCTTCTTGCTCTCCTCAGTCCATTCTTTCTTCTTCCTGCTTATGGATCAAGATGTGAGCTCTCTGCTGCTCCAGGGACCTGTACCTATGCAGTTGCTCTGTCATCACAAACTCTATCTCTCTGGAATCTTAAGCCCAATTAAACTATATAAGTTTTATAATTGCCTTGGTCATGGTGTTTATCACAGCAATAGAAACCTTAACTAATATAATTAGGATCAACACTCTTGTTTGTACTTTCAAACATTGGCATTGCTCCTGTTATACACAGTGAAATAGTGTCAAAGTTAAGGGAATGCTTGAATATTGACCTTGAAGAAGCTGATATTAAAAAAGAAAAGAAGGGGACTGGAGAGTTGGCTCAGTGGGGTAGAGGATCCCATTAGTTTGGTTCCCACCACCTATATGGTTGCTCCAAACCGTCAGTGCCATGGAATCCAACCCCTTCTTCTGACCTCCATGGGTACTAGATACTTACTTGGTATACATATATACATGTAGGCAAGATACTCATACACCTAGTAAAATCTTAAGCATTTTGAAGAAAAGTTATAGTAAATTAGTATTTTGGCCTCATATGAGCACTGCTTGTGTATGTCTAATTTTTGTTGCATTGCTTTATTTTTTTTCCCTTCAAATCATGAGTACTATGAACCTACTCTGGGGAATTAAAAAAAATGCATGCCTTTATATTTGGTGTGAGGATGGAAGTATATACACACTCCTTAATACCCTTTACTCTTTTTTTTTAAATTTCTTTCTTTGTGGTGTCTTTCAATTTACCTAGAAACAATTTACTTATTGAATGCTACACTTAAACCATTTTTGATTAACCAATAAGTATATTTTTGGATCAGTATCTTTATTTGGTTTTAGCATATCAGGATTTAAAAAGTTAGGCTCACAGCCTGGAGAGATGACTGTTCAGTTGTGAGGGTGTGAGTTTGTATCTGAGCACCCACACAAGTTGAGAGTCATATGCACACCTGTAACAGTTCTAAAAGGGGTGGAGACAGGCATCCCTGGAGGTTGCTGGATTCCAGCTTCATTATGAAAACTCAAGACCTAGGTTCAGGGAGAGATCTTGTCTCAAAGAAATAGTAATATAGAGGGACAACCAGTTTCCTTTTCCTGCCTCCTTACACACAAGTGTGCACACACACACACACACACACACACACACACACACACACACACACACACACTTATGTATATGCTCACACAGACAGGCACACAAATAAATATTAAATAAACAAAAGGCAAGAGAGATAAGCGGATAGCCTCTATCCTTGTTAGAGTACCTGCCGTTGGAGACAAAATTGCTCTTGAAGAATGGTGTCTTCCTGTTGACAGGAAGCTTTCCATTCACCATGCCCAGAGTCTTAACAGGGAACTGAACATGTTGACCAACCATACTAGACTTGTAACATGGATACTCAGACATATTATTTTCCATTTTATTCTATTCTGGGTTTGTAAGAAAGATTTCTAGAAATCTGAAAGAATATAGTATATTCTGAGATAATAGTTTCAATAAGATGCTTCTCTTATTATGATCAGTCTCATTATCACTTTTTTTCTGCAAAATTTTCTTTCTATACAAAAACAACAAAAAATGGTCAAGTTACTTGAAAACAAATTACAGGGCTGAAAATTTATTGCTTAAAATAATGGTTAAAAGATTTATTTCAAGTGAAAGAATGAAATATATTTTCAGGAAGTACCTCTCCCTTGTAAACATAGAGTCATTGTATGCTTCATAGGTTAACATTGCTTCATGTTTAGTTATTAGGATATCTAGTTTTTAAAAAATTATCAATCCAAATGATAGCATTGTTTTAAATGAAAAAATCAATTAGTGTTTTTTTTTGTTGTTGTTGTATGAAAT